ATATATATATATATATATATATATATATATATATATATATATATATATATATATATATATATATATATATATATATATATATATATATATATATATACATATACATATATATGCGAACACATATATTTGTAATTCTGTGATATCGACACAGATTGGGTAACGGTCCTACCTTGGTACAGCATACAGGCCACCATCTTCACCACCGACCACGAATTCACTCATTTCACCATCCGCAAATGCGATGGATGTGACCGGCAGATTAGAATTCAGTGCACTTCTCTTTAGATCTTGCGCCTCTGTGATAGGATGCAGAGGAATCGAATCGTTTCAGAATACTCGCCCATTGTATCTCCGCACGACCATATTGTGTATGATGTAGTGACATTGAGATAGGGCGGACGCCTTCAACAGACCTATGACTATAGCTTCCTGAATTCACAACCCAGAGCTGGATATAACTACCTACTAATCTCAGAGACCATCGCGATATCACCGCTGTAATCATCAGATTCTTCTACTTACTGCTACAAACGATAAGGTTATTACTAATGAGAGAATTCCATAAAAGCTTGAAGTTCCAGAATACCTAAAAGAATATATAAATCTGGCTATGTAGTACAGGGACATGGTTGAAACATATTAAACTCGAGTGCCTACGGTACAATCACGAAGGTACATACGCACAAACGTATGGCACCTACACACTGTACCTACATGCGCACATGTATCGTAAACACTCCATACCAATGGGCTCGTCTATATTGTCCGGGTTCCACACGCAGAGCTTGCCATCGTTGCAGACGGTGATAAGATTGTGTGCATTCTGGGTGCCCACCCATCCCTGGCAGTACACAGGGTGTGAGTGTCCGTGCATCTTGGTACTGCTTTTCTTCGATAGCTTCGACCTTTGCACCGGTGTTCGTTGGACAGGGCCAGATGCCGAGCTCATGTCCCACACCACAATCTGAAATAGGAGTGGTTTGTATGGAACTTAAGGTAAGGAATATGGCTGTAATAAACCTGACTAATATTAATCGGTATGTGCTTAGATTGTCTGATACTGTTCGGATCTTAATACCGCCTGAACCCGTGACGCAAGTGGGGTGAGGGGGCCCTTTAGATTACCTCGACATACAGGTGCAAAGCAAAGTAGCTGATGCAACGCCAAGACTACCGACACTAACTACGAATATCTTGGATCATATAGTAGTTCGTCGATACTGCGCTGTCATTGTCGTAGGTCACATCATCGATTGTCGGTGGGGCTTGCACGTACTCAAAACCCAAATCCTCCAACGAACACGACGTTCGTGAAGCGGACGCTGAATGATTCTCATGCGATACATGCTGTATATAGTAGCTCGCCCCAGCCTACGCCCACACTTAGAGGTGAACGGTGCACCAACATGCAGCCGAAATCACCTACCAGCCCGGTATATAGCGTGCCCACAATCAGACTTGGCCTGTAAGGCGAGAACGACACAGACATCACAGCAGACTGGCAGTAGAAGACAAACTCCGGGCTGCTGGGAACATTCACATTCCACACAGCCACAATACCATCGGGCTCCGCATTTGCTGTGTACATGAATGAGTCGGTGAGTGTTTTGCCGGGTACAGATACATTAGAAAAAACTTATTGGACTGCATGGAGAGTGTGCAAGATTTTGTCCCAACCCGTTGCGGTGAATATCAACATTCGATAAGCCTATTAACCGGGCGAGATTGATGCATCTGTCACGATCTGTATAAACTGAAGGGAATGTTGAGAGGCGACCATGTATCACACTCGGGGAGACAGCATTGGTCCATATACAGATATACATCCACCACCCTAATACAACCATGCAGAAGTCTTATATGTACATACTGGGGCCTCCAATACGGGGGGTGTCCGCGTACGCGCACACAAATAGTTCAAGTTTGTGTGGTGACCAGTTGAGGTCAGTACAGGCACGTCCGTTGTGCGAAGCAGCCGAGCCGAACGTAGTGCGAAGAGTCACCTGCAGAGAACGAGACAATGGAAACAGATGCAACGTCAGTGTTCCAGATGGGAGACGTATGGCTATGGAAGAGGGATGCTCGATACAGACACGAGATTAGCGGTGTAGGCGAGAGATCTGGTGATGAAACCCACTTTCTGGCAGTCCTAACTGACGGAAATCATGTACCGAACAGACGGCTGAGCGATGGAGAGAGAGAATCGGGGAATGAAGCCGCCTGCTGGTGCATTCAATAACCTTGCCCACACACCAAACACAGATACGAGATTACAGGCTACCGTACACCACTATCCTCAGACGAATCTCTGCTATCGTTGTCACCTTCACGTACACACACACAGTCTATCAAACTACCTGATTATCATCGGATTCGCCCGTCGTATCAATCTTCGAAAGGGCCGAGTAGTCCGCCGCCAAATCGTATATTTCGTACAGTGACCGCTCAGCGATCTTGCTTGTGCGCTCGAAAAACCTGTGGTTTGGGATCGAGGGGTATATATCTGATTATGAAGTCATTGTGTGACGTACAGACATCTGTAGGTCTGCATAAAACCTGTGGTTTGGGATCGAGGGGTATATATCTTATACAGAAGTTGTTGTCGTCGCACTAACGTTTCTAGGCCTGCGTGAAACCCGGATTTTGAGATCAAGCAGCATAGGCTTTACAGAGCAGGTATTTCATGTTACACAGACATTATCAGTTAACGACTACGAAGGTCTGCGTGAGCCTTGGGGTTTGGGACCATGTGGCACAAGTCTTCAAGTGAAGTTCTTATCCAAGGCATAGATGCTAGTGGATAAAGATTACTGTGCCGGAGTACGTATATCAGGTTCACAAGCAAACAGTTTTACATTCTATATATATATATATATATATATATATATATATATATATATATATATACATACACTACACACACTAATATAAACTACATATACTANACTATACATA